ACCACACAACATCAACAACAGCATCAACAACAACACTAACAACAACATCAACAACAGCATCAACAACAACACCAACAACAGCATCAACAACAACACCAACAACAGCATCAACAACAACACTAACACGAACGTTCATACCTCAATGTCGAGACAACAAACGCCATTGAATTCATATCGATAGAGGCAACTTTAATTATGATGATGAAAAATTTTATGAGAGGGCTGCGTGTGGCAACAAGTTTATTTGGGGTGAAATATATGACAACAACAACAGCAACGTTAGTTAAAACAACTTCACAATAACAACTACAACAATTACTACAACAACAGCAATTACAACAACTACAACAACTAAAACTATAACAACAACTACAACAGCAACCACAACAACAACATTAACAGCAGATTTTCAAACAGATCTTACCGTGACAAATACAAATACTGACCTGAAACTATACAAACGCAATGATGAACTAGGTAAAGTGTCCTATTTGTTTGAAAGACATCACAGCAACCACAAAAACCACAAGAGAAATTTCTGAATTACAAATAGCCGCATGGAATTTAATTATGAATAATATCTCTAGAACAGGCAACAATATTATTTACAGGACAACGACATCTGCAACAATAACAACAACAAAAACATCAACCACTATGTACTGTGAAGGAAGTACGCAAATGAAGTGTTGGCAGAGGAAGAAGATACTGATGACGTTTGGAGGAGAATTTTGCCGGAAGTATTAGAATAATAATAATAACAATAGTAATAACATCACCACCAACAACAACAATAACAATAGCATGCAATAATAGCAATAACAGTAATAATGATAATAATATTGGCAAAGCAATCATAATAAAACAGATGAAAACGAAGAAAAAATAATTGACGCTAGAAATGATGCCAATGACGTAAGCAAATAAAAACGACAAAAAGGATGATGACGCGAATTGCATTGGGCACATAAAAAACGCCCATGACAGTGACGTCATCTCGTCGGTAATAATTACAACAACATCAACAACAACAATCATAATAACATTAACAACAACAATAGTTATAGTAGCAACAACAACGACAATTATTATAACAGTAACAACAGTTATAATAGCAACAACAATAATAATTACAACAACAACAATTATAACTGCAATAACAACAACACAAGCTACATCAAAAATCATAATGTGTCGTAAGCCGTAAAGAAAGAGCAGACCCATCCATGTTAGCAGAGCCTGATATAGTGCTGGCGGAAAAGTTTTTTCAAATTATAGAAGAAGAACAAGTCAACAGTCTCAAAACAAAACACAACAACAAAAACATCTTAAATGGCAATTACAACAGTATTTAACAACATTAACATTAACAACAACAACAACATCAATTTTAACAACATTAGAGACAACATGAATTTCGAATGTATAACAAAAATGACACTCATAAAATAAGTTCAACTGAAGCCATCTGTAAATATAACACAAATATAACTTGAATAATAAAAATACAAATGACATCAACAACTCAGTGGATAACATTAATTGTAATGTAATTACGGATGCTTTTCGTTGCCCAACTTCGGATTTAATAGATGACATCAACCTTCAAACTGACTCCACTGATAGCATAAATAATGTTAACAACAACAAAAACACAGACCCCAGCAATTGCAACAACAATCGCATTAACTTCTATAACAGCAATAGCATTAGTGGCATTAATTACGCAACATATTGAAAAAGCGGAAACGGATAAAAAGAAAAAAATTAAAATATATAAATCATAAATACGATGCCAACCAAAAACATCAAATGTAATAATGAAACTAATTATAAAAATAGCGACATCATCATCGTCAACAACAACAACCACAACAACAACAACAACAACAACAACATATTAACAGCCACAACATCAACATCAACAAAAACATCAACAACAACATCAACAACAACATATTAACAGCCACTACAGCAACAACATCAGCAACACCAACAGCAACATCAACAACAAATCGTCAACAACAACAACAGAAGCGGCAAAAGCAGAACCGCTGATGAAAAAAATTAATGAAATCGTTAGCGTTGCTTCTAACAATTATGACAATGTTGTTTATGGTGATAACAACATTGCCAATATCCGCGCTAACTACCTTAATAATGTCAATAACAAAAAAATTGAATAATAATAAAAATAATAATAAGTTTTTAAATAATATTAATAATAAAAGAAAGAGTATTTTTCTAATAAGAATATTCAAAAATTGTCAGAATACTGTCACAAAACAAATAAGCACTATAAAAATATCAATAAAAATTATGACGATGATGATGTTGAAGATAATGAGTATAATCACTATAATAGCAATGATAACGATGATGATGATATGATTTTTAATGATGATGAAAAAGAGGAGGATGATGAACACCACCAACAATAACAACAAAAACAAAAGTATCAACAATAACAACATCAACAACAATAACAGTATCAACAGCAAAACCAACAACAACATTATCAAGATTATCAACTGTATAAACAACAAAATCATTATATAATTAAACAAAAACCTCGTCGTCCATACCAATTGAATAATTTGCATGAATTGGTCTACAGACAACAACAACAACATCAGCTTCAACATCACTAACAACAACTCATCGCCATCAACAACAAAAACAACATCATCATTTTCACCAAGAAGTTGTGAGGAACGACCAGCTTGCAGTCAACAACACTCTAGTAACACCAAATGGCCAACTTCAACACACGAGCCAAGTACATCTTGCTGCTGCTGCTGATCATGATGATGATGTCAGAGGCGATGATGATGATGACGTTTATCATAATGATGATAATGATTGTGATGATGAAGATGATTTTAATAATGATGATGATAATGATGATTGCACTGATAATGATAGTAGTGATCGCAGTAAAATAATTAACCATAACTACAATTACTATCCTATAACTAATGGTAAGATTCTATAGACAAATAATAATAATAAAGATAACACTACAACCTACATGTTTGCAACAAAAAACAACAACAACAACGAACATGCAGACAACAACAACAATAACAACAACAACAAAGCGATGTCTTGTTTTGACGCATTCGCCAATAATCCTTACAAAAATTTGAATGATGACAACAATTACAAGAGCGTAATTGTCACAACTAAGAGCGATTATCGTTATAAATATTCTAATGTTAATGACGTTAATGTTGACGTTGGTGTTACTGATGATGATGATGATGGTGGTGATGGGGTTATGATAATGATGACAAAATCAATGATGATGATGGTGATGATGGTGGTGGTGATGGTGATAATATGAATAAAAACAATGCAACGTTGACGATGATGATGACGACGACGACGATGATGATGATGGTGATGATGATGATGATAATGATGACGAGGACGATGATGATGACGATGATGATGACGATGATGACGATGATGACGATGAAGATTCAAAAAAGTGAATTCAAAAAGCAGATTCAAAAAAGTGATAAACGGTGAAAATAACCTAGCTTCTTCAACAATTAATACTGGAAATGTTATTAAAAATAATTGTAATAACAATAACAACAATAGAGATAAAAAGAACATCATCAACAACAACAATAATAATAATGATAATAATATTAATAATAATAACAATAATAATAATAATAAAAAAAAAACTAATAATAATAGTAATAATAAATTCTAATATATATAACAATAAATCAGATATCGGTAATAAAATTTCTTTGAAGGCAGGATTAACATCAAACAGGGGCAACATTTCATCATCTATGAGAGTTCATAACAACAAAAACAACAACAACAACAACAAAATAATAATAACAACAACAACATATAACATTGATGATACCAAAGATGGTGATAATGATAATAAAGGTGTTAGTAATTGTACTATTACTACTTCTACTATTTCTACTAATATTACCACTACTACTATTACTACTGCTATTACTGCTACTACTACTACTACTACTACTGTTACTACTACTACTATTGCTACTACTACTACTACTACTACTACTACTACTATTACTACTACTACTACTACTACTATTACTACTACTACTGCTACTACTATTACTACTACTACTACTACTAATAGTACTAAAAATGGTAATAGTATTTATAAAATCAGTACAAACAATAATGAATATTATGATAATAAAGTCAGTAATTATTTCACAGATATTGTTGACAACAAGATTCCATGCACTGATGACGATTGTTGCAGGCAGCAAGTGTGGCAACAACTTGTTCATAAGATGTTGATGTTGGTGATTACAAGATTGAATGTAGTATTTATCGCCGATCTGATGAACATTTTAATAATGACGAAGAAGTGAGTGAAGATGATGGTATAGAGAAGTGCTCTATTTATATTCTTCTACCTGTTTATAGTCTTAGTAATAGTATCAACAACATTAATAAAATCACCAACAACATCATCTCAACAACTGCAACACTTTTAGTCACAACTGCTGCAGCATTTTCAGCCACAACGTAAATAACAACTCTGGGTTCACGGGCGACAAATTACGCTACAATAAAATAATTTTATCATCGCTGCCACAGAAAAAAATTCCCGCATCACCAGCAATTCTAAACCACCGATATTTATTGCAACCGACTCAGCAACCGACTCAGCAACACGATCGTCTCCACTTTCAAGGACAGCATCTGCAACAGCATGAAACTTCAAATACGCTTTGTCGCTAAATGAAACATCAACAAAAACCACACCTAAGCAACAACAACTTAATGAACAGCTACAACCAAAACAACAACTGCAACAAGATTTTCAAGTTATTACTTCCAAATGTAATAACATTCCTAAAAAATTTTCCACCCACTTCAACTTTTTTCAAAATAATGTCAACAAGTCGCAATCCTTGTCGGTTTACATTCTTAAATTGGAAAGAACTCAATAGAATATTCCCATCCTCTTCACTACTGACAACAACAACAGCAGCAACAACAATAACAACAACAACATTTTTAACATCAATAAAAAACAGCAGTAGCAGAAGCATTATCAACAACGACAACATCAACAACAACAACATCAATAACATCAACGTTGGCATCGGGTAGGTCTGAATTTAATTACGAACTACAACATCACGGTCGACAACGACAACAGAATGATAAATGACGACAACAACAAAATCACCAACAATAACAACAACGATAATAATAATAAAAAAAATAATAATATTAATGACAACAACAACAACAACAAACAACAACGTAATCACCACCAACAACAAAAACGACGACGACAAAATAAAGCTGCCACATATTTACAATCACCATCACTCTTCGCACATTCCTCCGCCTTGGTTGATCTACATTCACACCAGCACCCACACCAGAAATATTTCGCATCAATTAAAGGAAGAGACTAATGAAAACAAACGCCAACATCTAAATCTTCACCTCAGTAGAAGTCAGCAGTTTCCTCTGCAAGAACGAATGCAACTGCATCCAGAAACTTATGATGAAAAAGACAAAGAGAGTTGAAAAACTGTTGAAGAAATGCAGAGTTCATTTGCATTACTTCAATCCTAACTTAACAGCTCTACATCTAACAAACAGAATTGTCTACTACTAATCCTGATTAGCTAATTTATTTAAGAATATCAAGTAACAACATTTTGACAATGCCACCTGAATAATTTGTTGGATATGTTGTTCCAAAAAATATTCAGTTCATATCACAAGAAGAACTTTTGTGAAATAAATATTCCGCAACAAAAAATATCTTACCGGCAAACTGTCTATTGTAAAGAGTGTGAGCTGGACTAACAACCACTGGAGAGTAACAAATAACAAAATGGAACCAGTCTGCATGGTGTGGGACTGGATTTAAATGAAGTGAAACATGCGATGGAACCCCTGAAGGAACTTCAAAAATGACGCACGACGATTGAAGTTAATTCAAAATTTGATTGCTCGATTGATAAAAAACATTCCGTGTGTGTGTGTGTGTGTGTGTGGTGTGTGTGTTTGTGTGTATGTGGTGTGTGTGCTTATACTCACGTATGTGCGCATGACTGTGTGTATGTGGGAGTGTATAATCATATTCATGTATTCATGTAAGTATGGAAAATTTCTTTAAAAAACAAAACTGCGTAATATAAGTAAATGTTAAAAAATTGATTCAAGCGCAAAATAAGAATAATAAAATTCCAAGTTCAAAATTTAAAAAAGTGAATAAATTATTAAATTATTATTATTTCATATATATTTATATGAAAATAAAAATTTAATTAAAAGTCGTTATGAGTTCTCAAGTGATTTCATGTACATGTAACAATCGCATCAGCTGTACATAGATCCACATACTTTTGAGAAAAAAATCTTTCAAATGAAAAATAGTTCAAAAAAGTATTTCAATTTGATGAATATAAAACAAAAGTGTTCTAATCATTAATTTGTTGGAAGAATCATGACGACACATCACGGAATGGCTCCACGTAATGTCAAGTTAGAATGGAATTAAATTGGACTGGAGGATTCATCTCAATCATTCATTATCTCACAGCTACCACGTATTTGTTACTTTGTTTGAACACGTTCGAAATCAGTTAAAGTTAACTGCAACTAAATGTTTTATAATGAAAATTAGTGTAAAGACACTCACAGTTAAGCGTACAATCCTTGTCAAAACGTTTCAATAATTGCATAAATTTTTTCATTAGCAAATTTGAATATTTACATTACGTGTGAACACATATAGATTTGTTTAAAATGCAGTTCTTCTACTATTTTACTCTTCTTATATTGTTGTGCGTGTATGTGTTATATTTATTTTTTGTGTGTGAGAAATGCAAATTGGTGTAAAGTGTATGTGATTTTCATACATATTTGTTTGTGTGTGTGTGATGCAACAAATGCTTGTCTTGTATTTGTCTGTGTGTATGTGTGTGTCTGTTTGTGTGTGTATGTGTGTGTGTGTGTGTGTTTGTGTTGTGTAGGTTTATTCAGTGTTCAGAAATGTGTAGCGTAAATTTATCAAATTTTTCTTCAACCGTTTCTACATGTTAACATCATAATGCTGAAAAAACATCTTGCTTATGCACACAAAACAAGACACAACCACCAACCTGGCTTTGATAGAAGAGTTGCTTTCTACATAAAGAAC